ATCTAGAGTTCTATCTTGTTAAAACTTATCCAAGGAAAAACAAGAAAGGGATATTGAAGTAATGGTGTTTTGAGCCAAATAAATTCGAATATCCACAAGTATAAAAGTAGAATTCAGTATATACCGGAGACAAAATGGCATCATAGCGAACACATTTTAATGATGCTCAAATTTATATTCAGTGCGCGATATTTTTAAAAATATGACCCTGTTTGCTTTCTAAATACAACAAAATTACTGCTTTACCTTCTGTTCAAATAGTTCCACAGATAAATCGAAGTCACAATTCGTACTACTTGAAAAAAGCTGTTTTTACTGTAGAAATGACAACTTCCCAATATAATTTTCTATTGTCAACACTGCATTACACTTGTTTAGCTCGCGCATGCGCAGTATAAAAGATGGGACATGTTTCCGCTTGAGTAAGACTTCTGGTCCTATTATCTCTTCTGTGGCCTAGGTCTAGGCTGACTAAATGGTACATTATATGGATCAATGCAAACTGGAACAAAACAACAATTGTCAATTGAAGTTCTAATTTTGGGAAATTTAGTAACAAATATAAAATCCCTAAACAGCTCATCGATTTGTATGTTTGCGCTATTAAAAGTAGACAATATTGAACAATGATCTGAAGTTGTCATGCAACTGACAACAATATTATATTTCAAAATACCTGTATATATGATGATATTTTACAAATATCTCGGGATTTTTGGACCAATTTTAAACTAAGCAAGGCAAAAAGTCTCCATTCAAGAATATATCTTCTTCTCAAAAGGTAAAATACTTAAAATACTTGATTAAATTGTTTACTTCGACGGTATGTATAAATTAACAACGTTTGACTTGCAAGACGTCAAAAACGGACGATTTCAACGCGCTGTCGTTTATCGCGTATTCATTTGCCAAAAGAAGTATTTACGTCAATTGAAAGCTTGCTTATTAAAGAGCCAACTAGTAGAAGCATGATCGATTTGGAGCTTTATCGCATGGTGAAAATCGATTTTGTTAAGAGGGTATCGTAAATGAAGTAAGATAATGTGCTCCAAAACTACGATTATATCTATTCCTAAAAGTAACTCAGATTTCCTGTAACTCATGTATACAGTCCTTTGAATAACCGAAAACAAGATTTTTAGGGTTTTAGATCGATTAGAAACGGTTGTCGTCGTGAAATTTATCTGTAAAATCAGCGCATATTTTCCCAGAAAAAATGGCGATTTAGGGTGGTCGTGTTAAAACGGCATTTTCTCAAAGTTAAAAAAAGCATTTGACCTAAAAAAATATATGGTGCATTTTCCGATATAATAAGGTATATCTGGGCAAAATTTGAGCAAAATCGATTTTTCAGTCGTGGCCGCGCAATGTCTCATATGTTCGATTTTTACTGACATTCACTCTTAAGGTGTTTTCCAGTCTTGTCTGCTATTACAACTTTTCATATATGAAGTTTTTGTTTAATTATCATATGTTATATTATCATAATTTTAAGTGCCAAATTCACCTCGAAGCAGTAAAATTTGATGTCGCTCCGATGCGAATCCGGTTTCGGATTACTACTCGGCCAAAACCACATTAAATATTATTAATTCACCGTTCGCGAAAGTATTGCTCATTTTTGATGGGGATTTTTCAAAATGTTGTCATTTGGGATGCTACAAGAGTTACCTGCGAAGGAGGCTAACTCGCCGTATTCAAACGAAACTTTCTACACGAAAGGGCTTGAATACAAGGAATATTTTATTCACATAGCCTTTGAGAAAATGAGAAAAAGTTTAGAAGATATTCAACTTTTTCTCAATATGAAATACAGAATATTTGGCCAAGCGGTGAGAAATATATGTTTTCGGTTTGTGTAATGTTTTGACCGCATTTGACCCCCGTTCGAAAGGTTATTTTGTGAGGATTTACATTAGAAACATTGAATCGTAATTATATAATGTAATGCGAAACCCGCGGCTTGTTGGAAAGTTCACTATAGACTATATAGTCATAGACAGCTGCAGTCGACCAATAAAGTCAGGTGTGCTTATACGTGTAAATAAATTGTATAAAATTGAAAATAAATTGTATTAAGCATGCTTTTCATTCTGTCGAAGCAATTGCACCAGCCACTGTATAATTGAATTTGCGACTGGATTGAACATACTTTTGGATTTCACTGCAGAAGCCAGAATTGTTTTAATGAAGAGAGATATTTGAATGTGTCAAATTCTTTACATCAAATTGTTACGTTACGGAGGAATTTGGGGGTGGGTCAGCCAATTTTGACATGCTTCAAAGGGGTGGGTCTTTTTATAGTTTTGGTATAAATGGAGGGGGTCATAAAAATAATCAGAGAAAAAATCACCAATTTAATTTTATAGAATTTGGAAATATTTGGATCAAGAATGGTAAAAAGGTCCAGAATCTATCAACTATCTCGTCATCTATAACAATAAAGCAAAATTCATTTGACGCTCTGTTCACACAGTCCATAGGAAAACATTTCCATGACGTTCGTCAATTGACCTTTTTATCCGTTTTTGTGTGAAAACATGAATGAAAGAAAACGCAGGACCGTAGCATGATTTCAAAATCATGAATGATTTCAAAATCATGCATGACTTCAAAATCATGCAGCCTTTATCAATTTTAAGCTTTATTAATTTTAAGCGGCTACATTATCCATGACAAACTGCAAAGAATGAAGATAGTACCCACAGTTTCCTGCAACTTATCCTAGTTATCCAATATATAGTAAATTAAATACGCCTATATATAGTAAATTAAATACTACCAAATTGTCAATTTCGACATACGCTGTTTTCTGACCATCAGAATTCTGTCAAATCTTCCCCCAAAGGCCAGGAAATGGCATTTCAGAGACTCTAGATTTAAAAATTTCCTCGGGCCCTCGCTTTCAGACCCCAATCAAAAAGAGCTTCCTGAAACGCTATGGAAACGACACCGTGTGGATTAATAGTTATGAGGGTCATAATTTTTTATCAACTTTTGTCTTGGGGGTTCCAAGTTTTCGCATGGAATTAGACATCAGTTCCTCCCCCCCCCCCCAGCTAAAAAATGAATGCTCCCTAAAAGCAAAATATGATGCAATGATTAAAGTAACATATTTATATCAGGTTTGATCTAATACGCCTGTAGGGAAAACCTGTGCAATATGTTTCAGATTTTGTAACATGCAGGTTGTGGAATATATACCTGATACACTGTGGTGTGTATAAAATTAACTCATTAACTGGCAATACGCCCGCATGCACCCGGAGATTGGCAAGTGGGTAACTGGCAATGCACCCGCATACGCCCTCAACGACACGTCAATTTCATTGGCCAATAATAAGAGATATGCATTTCGCGTTGCCTAGCAACGGGCACCTATAAAAGCACCCGACTCCACTCTTTCAAATGACACCTTGTGCAAGCTTGTGCAATCCATATTGACCAAGTTACGAGCGTTTTAAAAAAAAAATTTGCGAAAACTTTTTGATTATGGCTGCAGCACTTCATATGTTTGATAGTAGCGAAGACGAAAGCGATTTTGACTGGTTTTTAATCGACGAAACAGTTGAAGAAACACAGCCTATCGCAGCGGGAACATCGGCGGTTTCATGGCGAGACATAGCGGGCAACTCGGACGAAGAAGAGGATTTTGACTGTTTTTCGGACATCAAAGTTCAAGAACTCGACAGAAACAGTATTGTTATTCATGGAACAAACGCATTTTATAATTTACAAACTTTACATGATAGCAAGTCAAAAATATTCATCACAAAATTTCAAATTTTTTGAGTAATACAAATCCATTCGCTTTAAGATTTTAAATCCTGGCTTTTGAAGTAATTTGTGAAACACACATTAAAAATAAAATAAATGAAATATCAAAATGTGTAGTATTTCAAGCTTTTAAATATTCATAGTCCTAATTATGGAACAAAATTATTCAGAAATTAGTCAGGTGAAACTATACACAAACGTCATTATAAAACTATTTGTGATAATTTAAACATAAAATGAAACCTTATTTATCAGTCTAACCCCCTGCAAAATTTTAAGCTATTTTATTAGGTTGCTTTGAAGTTACAGCCATTTTTGTAAGTGCAGTAGATAGGAACTGAAATTGGCCATTTTGTTTGCCAGTTAGTGGGTAGAAACTTTGTTACAGTCTGCCACTTAATGAGTTAATTACAAACTATATTCCATGGAAACTCACTTGGTGGAACAAAATACAAGTCAGAAATTTCCTAAACGAGCCACAACACCGTGCACAAATTGACCCGTAGGCACGCACACACACACACACGAAAACACCAGAACAAATTTTAATCTCAAATTTCAGTCTCTTAATTTGGAAAAATATCGAGAATTTATAGCTATGTAATGTTTCTACTCAATACAATATAATACTAGTACGCTTATGCAGTTCAAATATCATTTGTACAATTTTGTCAATTTAGGTGTTCAATGTGGATGAAGTGTGCGAACGCGAAGTGTCGACAAAAGCGTTGTTTGACTCTGAGCCAGAAGCTGATGGTGAAACAACGGAAGGGGAAACCACCGAAGATGAAAAGCAGGATACTGGGGATGAAGATTTTCATTGCGAAGAAGGAATTGAATCTGAATCCGAAGACAATACGGAAACAAGGTAAAGACACAAACTGACATATACTAGTAGCTTTACGTAAAATAAAATAAAATATATAGTTAATCCCAATGCTATCATGATAATTATGTATTGCAGTTTTCATATGGAAAAAGAGTCAAAAGTGTGAACGTGGCAGTTTGATTTTGCTCCTCCCAAAATTAATAATATACTAATTATTTGTCTATACGCACTTTAGGGATTCTCTTACAAATAGAAGTTTATCGTTTTCCTTTCCCAGCTGGTTTTGCTGTTTCAGTTCTGCCATTTTTGCAAAACAGACAACCCCCTTGTAGAAACGAATGTATATGGAAGTGCTTTGACAGTAGAAAGCAACTGTGGAAATGCAAACTGTGGTCAAAAATGGAGCGTCTGGAGAAGCCAACCTATGATGCCCGGGTCAAAAGTAGATGCTGGCGATTTCCTTCAATGCTTCTCCATTTTGGTTTCAGAAGGATCACCTGCGAAGGTGATATATATATGTTTCAGCATATGGGACTCACTGGAATATCCGAAGAAACATTTTATGGACACCAACGTGTATGTACTGTATGTCACTTGTTTATTTCCCTGTGTCCCATATAGGACTCGGCAGTTAATGTGCTATATGTAGTCATACGCTATTACCTGGGCATATTTGCGTGAAAGAAAACTGTGATGGCTTTACCGTAATAAAATTACATGTCCTGTATCAATTTATTCCCCTTTATAACAATGTGATTAAACAATGGAACTGTATGCAGAGATTGTTCAGATGTAGAGACTGTTGCAATCTCCTGCAATTCACAATCTGCAGTTGCTGCCTTCATAATCTCTTCTACCCATGACTGTGGTTGATCCATAATGTCAACACATTCAGAATATTTTTTTTGTCTTTCATAATAATTGGAAGATTTACCACAACTGACTTATCCTTTGTTTCTTCGGAACGTTTATGTTTGATATGGGTTTCAATAAACTTTCCAAAAGGCTTTAGAAAGGGAAAAAACTCCTAAGAGTATTCTTGCAACAAAAGTCTGATACCGTCTTGTTGTTTCAGTTATCTCCTCCTCAGTTAATTGAATAGCTAGCTTAGTCTTTTCTTCATCATTACTTATTTGAGGAAGGTTATCTGGCAAATGAGAACTGGACACACAATCAAATACCAAACAGGATGAAACTGCATGGACACTTTTGTTTTGGTTTTCTTTCTGTGCATCATAGACTTTCTGTGTCCAGTCAATATTGTCAAGGACAATTACAAAGCTCTTTTTTTCTTTTACAAGCTCAATAGCTTTTTCCAAATGGTGTTTTCCTATTTTGTCCATTATTTCATACTTTCTTCCTGATACTAGACAAATACCATATTTATTCAGTCTTTCAATCAACTGCAAGAAAAATGAATGTTTTTTATTTAATTGCATCAGGCACAAATTTTCTGGGGGGGAGGTGCACACCCCCAGAAATGCTGTGCACCACCCAGAGGCATTTGGCACCACCCCCCCCCCAAAGTTTTTGCACCCCTGCAAATGATATATATTTTGATTTGATATTTTCATATTTGATTATTCTTACTACTAAATTTGTAAAATTACTAATATTATGGTCTCAGATGCCGCCATGCAGGCCTAGAAAAAAATTTTGTTAATTCATTAATCGGATTGTCATCGTAAACTTCCTGCGTATATAAATTTGTACACAACGTCATTCAAATTCTGTGACATCACAAAATGCGACCAGAATGATCGAACGAACGAACGACAAACAAATCTCAAATGCTTTGGCTAAAATACATAAGTTGCACAGGGATCTGGCACAAGTAAAAACTGTAAACGGTTGTCAAGAATAGGTAGCTGCCATCGCTTCGCTCGGCAGCAATTATAGGCTATATTTTTAATAGTTCCTCACAGCAAAAGCTAGGGAGTAGGGGCCATGTTCCCACGTTTTATACTGTATAAACCCTGATGCATCAAGCATTAATCAGCATACATGGGAACCCACACGTTTTGAAGTATCACATTTAGGTATTAAAAGGCACAATTAAAGTATTAAACGACAGTAAAAGTAATGTGTGTTTTAGATGTCAAACTTTTTATTGGCTGAACTATTAAATGCAAATTAAATAATTTGACGTCTTTGTGTGAGCTCATTTAAATAAAGTTCGGCATCTACTGACATATAATGTTCCACGACTGAAACACACGGAAACGTAACTTATTGTACCTTTTGGCTTCTATCAACGTCATTGAACATAATTGAACGTCTTGCTTTCATGACGCCAGGCAAAATTCTTGACTTGGGAGGAGGCTTTTCGGTGGATTCAGCTAAACACTGTTTACTAGTAACTTTACAGTTCTTTTTTATTTTCTCTTGGCTGTTTTGAATCATCGATAAATTCAGCAATATTCTTTAAACGTCTTGCGCATGGTCAACATATTAAGTGTGGCAAGTTGTCCACCAAAAGTTTATCGCCAAAAAGTATTTCAGCCGTCCGCAGTAAAGATGAATTCGACAGAGCAAACAGCCTTTGCCGGTGTGCTAAATCACCAATGGATAAACATAACCTGCATGATGATGATTTGTGCTCAGACGTTAAGTAAGTTTTTCTTGGAGTTGCCATAGTTTGTGTTCATGTTGTTGAATTTTGATTTAAAAGATAATAGAGAAAGCATTTTCACACACAACGCTTTTTTGTAATTCATGTTTACACTAGTTTTGACTGGATTGCAATTAACTGCAATTAACACTTTTCGCACGCTATTAATACACATTACAAACTTGGTGGATGATCAATATCGCCTTTCTCACCCCTCCTTCATAACAAATAATTTTACTGCCCAAAATCTGGGCAGTCGCATGACCACGAATAACCAGAGTACTTCCTCAAGAGTGTCCTGGTACTCAGGTTGGCTTCACCACTGTTCCCACCCACAGGTAACCTGCATGCTGCTCAATACTATCAGTGATACAACAAACTTTCAATTTGTCAAATGTAAACACAAAGCATTTTAATATGTCTTTTTTAAAAGACCTTTGTGTGTCAAATTATATACAAGTGCTGTATCTGAATCAATCGGAAGCTATGATGAACATTCGTGTATGAAAATTATAACAAACATAACATATGAATGGTAGAGGCAAATAGTTAATGTAGTATTATAAGTATAAACATGTAGTGTTACAAAGATGTTTATTGAAACTATTGTGCACAGTTACTGTGGTATTTCATTAGCATCACCAATAACTGAACATAACTTGTGGACTTTTCAGATTGCCTATCTTGGTGTTCAGTGCCCCCATCAAAGAAACCCAAAACCATATGTTTCCACTAAGGCTGATGACACACATTCTTTGAAATCTAGGTAGTTAGCATAGTGTAAAGGTAGAGTGAAGCTGATGTTGCATGTCGAGGCGGTTGGTCGGCATCTACACTTGTCATCACAGTCATGCTTAAACTTGACTGTGATGTCTTTTGGCAGCCCACATGGTGGAACAGTAGAAGTTCCTGTAATGAACCTGTATAGTTTTGACAGTGTTGTTGCTGTATTCTCAATATCTGTGCCATCATCTGGTGAGGCTACATAAACAATCAAACAAATTAATTTAATAGTGGCTAATATATAATCACTATAAGGCTGCTCTATGTCTTTTCATGTAGATTTTTACAGAGCATACACTTTACAGTATACACTGTAAGAGCATCGCCTCGCCTAACCACGCATCACTGATCTAAAATAAGACTGGATAGCACAACCTGTTGACAACTGGAGCAGAAAACGAGCTATGTCTCTCCTTTGTAAAATGTCGTTCAAATTTTAAATGTACTAGATTGCTATATTATTTTCAATTGGAACTTATATAAAGCATCTCAAGTAATAAATTTCCACAATACTACTGTATAAATTAATGCTATCAGTTGGTACCTCATTAATGCTATCAGTTGGTTTACACAATAGATGCACAATCCAGTCTTATGTTCAGATCAAACAGCCCCTGAGTGATGCAAAGCATCTTTTACCTGAAAAACCAATGTCTTCAATGTAATCATTTAAGTACTTGTATATATCAATTTCGTTTGTTTTCATGTTTGAGCCTTCCTCACTAAATTCACCATGTATATGGTCCAGCATGTAATCAACACTTGGCACAAATGTATCTGACATAGTAAACAGATATTTCATTGCATCTTTGTTTTGTTTGATCATCTTCAATAGGCTGTTGCGGTATATCGATATATCGATAATTATCGTTTTTTTATAAATACCGATAACTCGATATTGAAATTTTCGATATATCGGAATATCGATATTTTTCGGTATTATCGATATCGCGTTTACATTTGTATATTTAAACGTCATATCAAGCTTTTTCAAGCTCTGTTTGGAGTTATTTCAGAAGGACAAAGACGATCAATGTGCTAACTTTGCGGGGAAAAGTTAGGGCGAGAGCTAAAACGTGTTTGTTTACGTTGGCGTTGCAAAGTGCAATACATAATTTCGCTTGTCAAAAAGTAAACTTTTAGAACGTAAACAACGGTGGCCGTGGATTACAAATGTTTAAAAAAAAACACAAAAACTAACCTCACTGGACATTGTTTATCTGATAGAATAATCCTTGTTTCGAACTCGCAGTTGAATAATATGTTTTGAAACAAATTTCCCGGCCAAAATATCACACTTGATTCATCCTAAGTGCGGATAATCAATGCAAATATGCATTTTCAATTCCCAAAGCGGACATTTCACGGGCTACCGATCACTGGCCCAACACTTTATTGAAAATATCCCGCACCTGATGAGTCAGAAATCTAAAATTAGAATAAATAGACTATTTTTGTCGTTTTGTGACAATCTACATTCCAGACCCATTGTTACTGTTTCACTTGAAGACTAACATTCAGAGTATCAACATGCCAAGCGCTGTCTGGAATCATTTTAAGAAAGTAAAAGATGATCCCCAGTGTCAAATCTGTGGGAAAATCGTCAAGAATAAGGGAAGTAATACTTCAAACGTCATGTCTGATCTCAAGACAAATCACTACATGATATACAGCACGTTGCAAAAGAATATAAAACAAGCTTCGTCTCCTCGCAACATAGTCTCTTCAACTACAAGTACCAACGAAGGCGTTATTTGAAAACAGAAAATTTGCGTAAAATTAAGCAAATTTGGCATAAAATTAAACAAATTACAATCGCGAAAAAATATCGATATATCGGTATTATCGGTATTTTTTTTCCGGTAACGGTTTTCGTTTTTTTTCAAATACCGCAACAGCCTA